CTGCATCCACAACGCGGTTCTAACTCCCAGCTTTGTGTTTAAGTACAAAATTGAATGATGCCAAAAAATCTACCCAAGTGGCATGTCGATCTTTCAACTTACTCTGGTTGTTCAAAAATTTCAATGCTTCATGATCTGTGAACAAGGTGAACTCGTTTGTAAGTAGATAGTGACTCCAGTACTCCAAGACTCTGACGATTGAATAGAATTCTTTGTCATAAGTTGAATATTTCCTCCTAGAATCGTTGAGTTTCTAACTGAAAAAGTCGATGGGATGATCGCCCTAGCTTAGTACGTCCCCTATTCCAATTCCTAAGGCATCACATTCTACATCGAACAGTAGAGTGAAGTCTGGCAAAGCTAGAACTGGTGCTGGAGTTACTTTCTTTTTTAGCGTGTCGAAGCTGGTCTAAGCGGTGCTTGACCAAGTTAACTATTTGCTTTTTAAAAGTTCAATGAGAGGAGCGGTAACAATGCTGAATTTTTTATGAAGCGGCGGTAGAACGAGGCCAACCCCAAAAATTGTCTGAGCTTGGTAAACGAGCAAGGTGCAGTCCAGCTTATGATAGCTTCAATTTTTGTCGGGTCCATTTGAATGTCTGCACTGGACACAATGTAACCCAAAAAACATACTTGATTTTTCATGAAATTGCATTTCTTTGGATGGGCATATAATTTCTCGTTTCGGAGTACTTCGAAGACCTCCCTTAAGTGTTGTGCATGCTCCTCTTCAAAATGATTGTATATTAGTATATCGTCAAAGAAGAATACGACTAATGTCCCAATGAGGTTGTGAAATATCTGATTCATTAATTGCATGAAGATGTTGGGTGCATTTGAAAGACCAAAAGGTTAGTAAGTTGTCTCATATATATATACTACACTTGTATATTATCAAACAATGATAAAAGATTAATAAGTTGTATATATAGAAATATGTTTGAGATTGTGGCATATAAATATTTATATTAAAGTGCATGGGCTCAAGTAAATTATTTTTATGATCATTAAGCATTTGATACTCTTTTTTGCAAATTTTGTTATTTATATAATAAACTGTCATTTTTTTATTGTTTATACCACATGCTTTAGTTCTTTATCATTTATATTTTAATGAATAATAGTTATTCACTAAGTTTAATTTTTCAAACTTACGCGTTGATATTTTTGCATAATAGGTTTCATTCAGTCACTTGGAGGACCGTCACAATAGGAACAGTGCTACATCTTTAGATTTTCTTTCTGGTAATTTCAATTTTTGCTTTCATTATTACATTTTCTCTTTTTGGGTTGGGTAATTATTTTCCTCTTATTGCCTTAGTTTATTTTAGTCAAATGCTTACTTTTCTTTCAGTTGTATCAATTGAACTCTTATTGATGGAATAAAAGTTATATTTTATTGCTTATTTTGTTATTAATTTTTTAAATTTTTTTCTTCTGAGAATACAAAACATGTTTAATTTCTTTCATTATGCATTGTGTTGTCGGGGTGTACCATTTTTTGGATTTGGGGTGTGACACCAAGGAGCAAGAAAGGGCATGAGAAAAAAAATATTAAAGAGAGTTTTGAAACAATTTTGAGATAGACATTCATTCATGTGACAATCCATACAGCTCATTAATATGTTCTTACCATGATATCGGGTTCTTATAGAAATATGATTTCATAACTTTTTCCCTATTTGAGTGTGGTCATGGTTGCATTGGACATGCATGCTTTTTAGTACGAATGATGGGAATGATGATGAGAAACTAGCTATAAGAGGGTGAGGAAATGCAATTGGGTATATTGAATATAGTTGAACACCTGTAATGTTGGAAATGTCAACAATTGGAATAATTTTGTGCTTAACACTTTTAATCTTGGCAAATGGAGGGATAACTACTGTTGAGTCACAATTTGGATATCCTATTGTTATAAACTTCAAATGTTGATTGTATTGTTATAGGATTTTGATCATATGATTATACTTGAGCAGCACAAAAAAATATTGAGATGAGTTTAATGGTTCAACTTTCATGTTTTATAGTTGTTGATTATCATTTAATTGTGCTATAATATGATGTTGTATAGATTATATTGGAGCATGACAAAAAAAACTTGAAATATAAATTGTGTTGATACATTTAACCCAAATCTCCACATCACAATTCATTATATTTTCCAAGCGATCAATCAATGCTTGTAGCATTTCAAGAAAAACATTAAATCAAAAAAATTCTTACTGAAATTGTTCTCTTCAAGTTATACTGGTAGATATGTTTATGCCTTCTATGCCCTTAATTCATTTTTTTTTTCTTTTTCTGCTTCACTTCTAAAGTTATGGTAGAATTTTCTTGTCCAATAATTTGTCCCTCATGAAAAAATATCTTAATTTCCAATTCATTTGGCTGTCTTCCTAAAGGGCGTACAGCATACCTAGGTCATAAAACTCCTACGGAAGAACAGTGTGTGTTATTGTATAAAGTCATAGCCCAACAATGCAAATAGGTTGTTTCAAACCCTCGACCTCCAAATTATTTATCTGCAGATTATCCTGACAATCTGATAATCTGCAAATTGTCTTGATAAGCTGGCTGGTTTTTTGGGGGAGCTTATTCAGAACAACTTATTTGCAGCTGCTTCTGGATAAATGATCATTCTGTCTCTGTTAAGTAATATTGTTTGCAACAGAACTGTCTGGACAAAATAATTGATAAAACAGAAGCCGCAAACCATTACAGATCAGTTTCAGAAAATAAGATGCAGTCTTTACTTACGCGTGAATTATCAAATCTAATAAAATAAAGAGAAAAACAATTATAAATTCAATTAAAATTATTAAAATATTGAGTTTAAAACCCTGACGATGTATGTCCTCAGCTGCACTGTCCTTCTGGGAAACCATCATACCCCGATCACTATCAACAGTGGAATATGCTAGAAATCAAAGAATAATGACAAAAAAAAAACCCACACGCTCAAAACCACCCAAGCCACCATTAACACCTCACATAGCCACCACACACAAGCAAACCTTACATCCACCACCAAACCCACACACGCAAAGCCAGGACAGCACAGCCAAGCCAACTTATACACCGCTCACAGTCACTAAAGACAAGCATTCCTCACATCCACCACAAAACCCACACACCCAAAGCCAGGAGAACACACCCAAGCCACCATTAACACCTCACATTGCCACAACACAAAAGCACACCTCACATCCACCACCAAACCCACACACCCAAAGCTAGGAGAGCACACCCAAGCCAACCTAAACACCTCACATTGCCACCACACAGAAACACAACTCACATCTACCACCAAACCGACACACCCAAAGCCAGAAGAGCACACCTAAACCACCATTAACATAACACATTGACCACACACAAGCACTCCTCACGTGATATCACAAAACCCACACACCCAAAGTCACGAGAGCACACCCAAGCCACCCTAAACACCACTCACAGTCACTAAACACAAGCATTCCTCACATCCACCACAAAACCCACACACCAAAAGCCAGGAGAGCACAGCCAAGACACCATTAACACCTCACATTGCCACCACACAGAAGCACACCTCACATCCACCACCAAACCCACACACCCAAACCCTTGAGAGCACACCCAAGCCAACCTAAACACCTCACATTGCTACCACACAGAAGCACACCTCACATCGACCACCAAACCCACACACCCAAAGCCAGTAGAGCAAACCCAAGCCACCATTAACATACCACGTTGACCACACACAAGCACTCCTCATGTGACATCACAAAATCACACAGCCAAAGCTAAGAGAGCACAGCCACCATTAACGCCTCACGTAGCCCCCACAAACAAACACACCTCACATCCACCACCAAAACCCACACACCCAAAGCCAGGAAAGCACAGCCAGGACCACAATTAACACCGCACATAGCCATCACACACAAGCACACCTCACATCCACCACCAAACAAAAATTTTCAAAACCACTGAACACACCCAAAGCCAGGAGAGCACACCCAAACCGTTGAAAACGAATTTTCCAAAATCTCATAACCAAAATTTCTAACCAAAAAGATGGGATTGACAGCCACAGAGTGCAAACGGATGCTTCAAAAGAAAAACCCACAGAAATTATAGATATAGGAGTAACATCTCGATCTAACAAACAAATGTTTGGTATCACCACAAAAATTTCAAAGAAAACCACAAATATTCCAAAGAAAACCATGGGATCGGAAGTCGCAGAGGGCAAACGAGTGCAACGAAAGGAAAAACCACGGAAATTATAGAAAGGAGTAACATTGCGAGATATCAGATGAACGAGAGAAAGCTTCAAGGGAGAAGAGACAGAGAGGGGCAAAGGAGAACCAGGCTAAGACAAGCATGATCGCACGAGGGAGAAGAACACGGGAGGTAAATGGCGATCAAACGCACCTCTTCAAAGCGGGATGCAGGGGTCGATCCCGCGTCCGGCTTTCTTAATAAAGCATATTTCAGCGTTTTCAAGCCGCCGATCAAACACACAAACCAAATGCTATTCCACCATTTTCAAACTGCCGCCGCACCAAATAAGTGTCCCCAAATAGACCCTTAATCAATATTAGATAAACATATTGCGCTCATTAAAGCTAGCTCTAAAGGTCGCAGCCATTTTATTAATAACCACATGAACAATACAAATACTTGTTTCTTGAAATTACTCCTTGCAAAAACATAAATGAAACCATTAATTGAACCATCATCTTCAAAGAAAAATGATGATAAATTAACAAAAAAGCTTCTGCGCCATGGATCAATAAGATATTAAACAATGCATCAAAGTTCCTTTTATCCTACTTTAGCCTTCATCAAGATATTGTTTTGCAAATGAAATGCCCGGCAAATTCAGCAACTGATATTGCAATTTCCACTTTCAAAGCCAATAATTAACGAAATACCAAATACAGAAGCAGCATATGCAATGGCCGCGCAATCTAGCGCACACAAGCAAGCAAAAGAAACCAAATTACCTTGGAGGATTGCGAAGCTACGAAGCCTCCGTTGGTGTCGCTGATACAGACAACTCTCCCTCGATTGGAGCTGCGCCGCAGCAGATCCGGATGGCTGTTTAGAGGAGAGGAAATGTGGAATAAAGAGATCGATGGTGTTAAGGAGTTAGCGCTGTTGTCGACCGGCGATGCGATGAAGAGCGAAAGCGGAGCTCTGCATAACACCATTGGGGAAAAGCGAGAGAACTCGAGTGAGGAGGAGAGGCCGAGGAGTTTAGCTTGAAGATAGAACGGGGTAAAATAGTAATATTGTGAAGAAATGCAGCTGAATGGCGATCGTGTCCGACCCGGGAGCGATTTTTCAGGGTGAGGGTGTAGCTACTGAAAAATGATCAGGGAGCTAGCTGATAGGAAAAAAAATTCGTTTTTTTTTTTATCCGGGCCTGACAAAATAAGAGAATATTTTTTCCATATTATTTTGTATTATTTAGATGTTATTATGTTATTAAAATATCAAAAATATTCTCAAAATACAATAATACATAAATACTACCATAATAACATCTGAATAGCATATAATAACATGTCACTTGTATTAAAACGAATTTTTTTATTTTTTTTCACCTTCACGTGGCGTAATTTTATTGAACTTCGTACTTATCTCTAGATCCGGAGTCCAGACGTAATATTTGTTCGTAGGTACGGCATCTAATTAATTTAATTCACTTCCTTAATATTTAATTAAATAAATTTATAATTTTTTAAAATTAGGTCTACTGCCATAGGATGATTTTAATCGGGTGACTGTATGCAGAGCTAGATACGAACGTCGTAGGGAAAAATTTTTCCCGACGGAGAGCCATAGCGACAGCTTTCATTCTTCAGAAAGTACGTCTAATTGGAGAAATGTGGTATTAAATATATTTTTTGAATAAACAATTAAATAAGTTATTTTGAATGAAATATTTTTAGTATGTTTATAACGGAAATATATTTTGTGAGAAATTTTGAGTAAGAAAATTGAAATCATTTTGATAGAGACTAGTTGAAAGTAGAACTAAGAAATAGAAATGAACTAGGTTTAATTAATAGTCAAATAGATTTGGATCTTGTTTGAACTAACCTAGTTCAAATATCATTCTATCCCTCATCCATTTTATTCAAGTCATCTTTGAACCTTGCCTGAAGTATGGTCCAATATAATTCAAAGATGTTTAGAATCTCACTCAAAGGTTGTTTGCTACTAGGGATGTAAACGAGCCGAGCTCAAGCGAACTTAGGCTTGGCCCGTGTTCGGAATTGTTCGTGTTCGAAATTGGCTCGTGTTCAAAACGGGCTCGTGAACAGTGTGTTCGTGTTTGGCTCGATTTAAATATTCGTGTTCTTGTTCTGCTCAAAATTGGCTCATTAAAATTAACTGAAAAAATAGATGTAGAGTGTTGGATTCGAACCTGGACCAAATGTATGTAAAAAAAGGCGCATAACCACTTTGCCACACGAGTAATTACGTTTAAAACTTAGATATAAATACATATAATATATTATTATATAATCTTTCTTTTCGAGCTAAAACTAGCCGAACACGAATGAACAAAGAGTTGTTCTTGTTCGGTTCGTTTATAATTTGAGCTTTAAAAACTTGTTCGTGTTCGGCTCGTTCAAGCCGAACACGAGCTGTTCGCGAACAACAAGCTTTTTTTACAGCCCTATTTGCTACATTCAAATATTGAGCCTCTTCTTATCATTAATTGAACCTTATTTAATATCCATTTAAATAAGATTTAAAACTACTTTAAGTAAATTCCACCTTTTCTTGAACTTGGCTATACTCTTGCTTAAATAAGATAGTAATGTTAATTACAATTTTATTTAAAGCATTTGTGGTTTCGGGGTGAATCAATTCTCATATTATATGAAGGAGAATAGAAATAAGATGTATATGTACATCAGTAATATGACATCACGAATCTCAAGAAGACCCCAAGAATCTTAAGAAGAAGAACAATAAAAGTACAAACAACCATCATTACATCTATCGAACTTCATTCCATACCAACCGAGTGAAAGCCTAACCGGGCAAAGGAATAATGTGCGACCACATTAAAGATAGTCGAACCAAAGGAACACTTTTACAATAAAACCCTTTGGGGGAGCCGACTGTAAGTCATTCGATTGGCCTACCAGTTCCTAACTGATTGAACGGGTAGCAGGTAATCAGACCAGAAGGTTACGAACAAGTAAAGACGTTAAGCACAATTACAAACATGAAGAGACGCCAATAACGGTTACAAGGTCAAATTATGCCTATGTCAGTTAGAAATATGTAAAGTAAAATGATTCATAAATGACTGCAATGTTTCAATTAAATGCGGACAATTGTATAATTTATCATACCCTTCCTAAGACATAAATAGGAGGTCATTTTCGTAAAAAAGGAAGATTGACAATTCCACTAAAATTTAAGTGTTACTAGCTTACTCTTCTCCTTCTCTCTTTCCTGTCACTAATACACAGAACAATTTGAGATTCTAAATTCTAAATGGTGTAGTGAGGGTGAAATCATGCCTTTAACAAGTCAAGGAGCACATCAGAGAGGTGAAATACCCCTACTGAGTATCTAATGTAGTCTTGGTGCAGAAATCCCATGGCAAGTGGAGGATGTTCTTGGACTGCACAAATATGAACATTGTTTGTCCCAAGAACAGATATCCACCAATCCGAATAGATGTGTTAGTGGACTCTGTTGAAGGATATTCAGTCATGAGTTTCGTGGATGCATTTTTTGGTTATCACCAAATCAAGATGCATTTAGCCAATGCTGACAAAATAACTTTTATTACTAGTGAAGGTTTATTTTGTTTTACTGCAATGGCATTTAGGCTGAAAAATGCTGGTGCTACCTATTAGTGTCTCATTTATATAATTTAATATATATATATATATATATTGAAGTTTATGTTGATGATGTTCTAGTAAAAAGTAAGTCGGTCGAGTAGCATATAATCAATTTAAAAGAAACATTCCAAACTCTCAGGAAATATTACATAAAGCTAAACCCATTAAAATTCACATCCGGGGCTTCGCCCGAAAAATTCTTAGGACACCTCCTAACACCCAACGACATTAAGGCCAATTCTGAGAAGATAAAGGCACTCTCGAGCATGCCTTCTCCTTGAAATACTAAAGAAGTACAGAAGCCGACAGGTCGAATAACCACTTTAAGCAGAGTCATTTTCAAATTAGGAGACAAATGCATAGCTTTCTTTAAAATACAAAGGAAAGCTAAGAAGTTTAAATGTTCAGTCGAGTGCAAGCAGGCATTCCAAAGTTTGAAGCATTCACTAGCCTCGCCACCCCTATTAAAAAGTTTGAAGCCAAAGGAAGAACTCTCGTTATATTTGGGAGTTAGTCTAGAGGCCATCAGTTTGGTGCTAGTTCGAGAGGAGTTGGGGAAGCAATTCTCCGTCTATTACTCCGGCCGAGTTCTTATAGGAGTCGAGGTCAAGTAAGTTATTATGAAAAAGCTAACATTTGTTTTAATTGTCTCTACTCATAGGCTCCAACCGTATTTTTATATGCATCCCATTAGAGTAATCATTGACTATCCACTTAAGTCTGTACTCAAACGATTGGAACACTCTCGTCGACTATTGAAGTGGGCAGTGGAACTCAGCGAGTGTGACATCGACTATGTCCCCTAGATGGCAATCAAGGCTCAAGCTATAGCAGATTTCCTAAGTTCTCCAAATAAGATGAGTCGAGTGATGGATTTGAAGCAGACGAATAAACTTGGACCCTCTATGTCGATGGAGATTCTAGCCAAGCTAGAGTGGGAATTGGGATAACATTATGTAGTCCGACTGGAGAGCATATATATCAATCGATCGCCATCGATTTTTAAGTGGCAAACAATTAAGCAGAATATGAAGCTCTGATAGCCTGTTTACGGATAGCTGATGAAATAAGTGTCCTACACCTTACTGTAAAATCAAATTCTCAATTTGTCGTCAATCAAGTTAACGGGGAATTCAAGGCTTGAGATGAAATGATGACCAAATATTTAAATAAGGTGAAGGCAGAGATAGGGAAGTTTTCAAACTTTCGTATTAAGCATGTAGGATGAGAGGAGAACCAAGTGACAAACCTCGAAGAACATATGCTCCACAAATAAGGTGCATCGATGGCTTTCCCAACCATTCATAGAAGAGTCAGAAATAATGGAGGTAGAAATCAAAGATATGAAAAGTTTGGTTGATCCTTACATCCACTACCTTAAATAGGGAAAATCCTCAAAGAAGTGATGTATCATCAAAGGCTTAAATTTAAAGTCGCTAAATATATCCTCATTGGAGATAAACTCTTCTGAAGGTCGACTATGTTGTTCCTTCTAAAGTGCGTCAAGGAAGGAGAGGTGGAAGAAATCCTCTGGGAAGTGCATTCGAGCAAATGTGGAAGTCATTTAGGCAAAAAGAAATTTAGCTCATCTTTTCCAGAGGCAAGCTACTTCTAGCTGTCCCTCTTAGCAGACGTGGAAAAATTTTCTCAAAGATGTGAGCAATGCCAGAAATATACTCCACTGCAGCATCAATCTACGCAGAAATTACAACCAATTTTTAGCCCCTGTCCCTTCGCCATTTAAGGACTCGATATTCTCTAATCATTTTTGCCTCTGAAAGAGAAACAAAAGTTCATTTTAGTCATCGTGGATTATTTTTCAAATAGATAGAAGCAAAAGCACTCACAAGAATTACTGCTGACATAGTCCAAAAGAAACATTCCAAACTCTCAGGAAATATTACATAAAGCTAAACCCATTAAAATTCACATCCGGGGCTTCGCCCGAAAAATTCTTAGGACACCTCCTAACACCCAACGACATTAAGGCCAATTCTGAGAAGATAAAGGCACTCTCGAGCATGCCTTCTCCTTGAAATACTAAAGAAGTACAGAAGCCGACAGGTCGAATAACCACTTTAAGCAGAGTCATTTTCAAATTAGGAGACAAATGCATAGCTTTCTTTAAAATACAAAGGAAAGCTAAGAAGTTTAAATGTTCAGTCGAGTGCAAGCAGGCATTCCAAAGTTTGAAGCATTCACTAGCCTCGCCACCCCTATTAAAAAGTTTGAAGCCAAAGGAAGAACTCTCGTTATATTTGGGAGTTAGTCTAGAGGCCATCAGTTTGGTGCTAGTTCGAGAGGAGTTGGGGAAGCAATTCTCCGTCTATTACTCCGGCCGAGTTCTTATAGGAGTCGAGGTCAAGTAAGTTATTATGAAAAAGCTAACATTTGTTTTAATTGTCTCTACTCATAGGCTCCAACCGTATTTTTATATGCATCCCATTAGAGTAATCATTGAC